TCCTGTTCAAACGACATAAATGTTGTGTGCTTGGAGATGAGTTGGTTTTGGTGTCCATGCCCTACTGATTTGTGTAAATGACTTCAATTGGAACAATAACTCTTATTTATTCAAAATGTATTAATATGTAAAAAAACTAAGAGCACCTCATATCATTTAAAAAGACTTTTCTCGCGAAAACACAAAAAGCCTCAAAATCGTTTACATTTACGACGTCCGCCGCATTGCGCGGGTACACAACTAGTATATATATAACATGTACAAGTATCGCACTCCCCGTTCTGTCCTGTACCCGTATATATATATTATTTATTTATGTTAAATCAGTAAATAGTAACTTCTGTTTCAATATATTTTGGATATTACTCAATATGTTTTGGTACATGTGACGTTAATTTTTTTAGTTTAAATTTAATTTCTTTTAGTTTTCGATTTATTAATTATTATATGATGATGTATATTTTTTGTATTAAATCAGATTTCTTTTGATTTTAAGTTTATTTGAAAAATGTGAGATTTAAACATGTGTAACGTTACACACATTTGATTTAATAAAAACTTACACAAATGGAAAACTCTGTTGGGGATGAGGATGAGGATGTGATTAAATTTCCCGATAGGGACGTGGACAAAGATGGGGGACCGGGGATGGGGATTGGGGTACCCGCCTCATTACCATGCCTAGATGAGAAACATAACCTCGTTAGTATTGATATTCAATTATGATTGATCCAGGATGTACATCTATTCTTAACCTTCTCATGATAACTTTATTTCTCATTGAAATCCAACCATAATATATATATATATATATATATCTTTTGTATTATATGTATTAAAAGATAATAAATTATTACAGAAACTTCAAATATTTACATAAGTTTTCAACTATAAAGTTGGTATTTATGGTTTTTTTCTTTTTCAAAAATTCAATGTTTCTCACCTACTAAAATTAAATAAACTAATAATATATAAATACAAAGTTTGAATTTTTATTTGAGATTTATACAATAAATTATATCAACAATAGACTATAAATTTTTATTATCTTGAACGCATTTTTTTCAAGTTATTTAAAAATAAAATAATAATAATAATAATATTGAAAATAGAAATCATCTACATTGTCTTAAGTAAATGGAACATTTTCTAAATAAATAATGAACATAAATTTATTTATTTTATCATAATAATGATTGCAAAAAGAATGTGCACTTAGCCTTGTATTTGGGGTTGGATTCACGTGAGATCACTTTATTTTCGTGACACCAACTTTTTATACTTTAAACTTCATAGCAGAATGTTGTGAAGGTAAAGAAAAGGCAAACCTTCATAGCAAAAACACTGTGAAGGTTATCTTCACAGCGTTTTGTTGTGAAGTTTCAAGTGTAAAAAATGGTTTCACGGGTCTCATGAAAACATGTTGGTCTCACGTGATCCCAAGTCTTGTACGGGTTAGGTTCACGTTTGTTTTCGTGAGACCCGCGAGATCACTTTTTTACACTTGAAATTTCACAACAAAACGTTGCGAAGGTAAAAAAAAACCGAACCTTCACAGCAAAAAACACGGTAAAAGTTACCTTCATAACGTTTTACTGTGATGTTTCAAGTATAAAAAAGTGGTCTCACGGGTTTCACAAAAACAAATTGGTTTCTATATAGGAAAAGAGGGTTACGAGTGGGGATATATATATATATATATATAGAGAGAGAGAGAGAGAGAGAGAGATCTATTTCAAAATTAGAATATTGAACTTATTGAAGTGAATTAAATACTCAACACAATTTACAAATTTACCCTTCTACTTATTTTAAAAAATCATAATAATTATCCTGAATGATTGTTTATGTTAGAATTCACGGTTACCACAAACTAAATAGTTCTCATTTTATTAGCCCTCTCTCTCTCTATATATATATATATATGTATATATATATATATATATATGTATATATATATATATATATATATATATATATATATATATATACCCCATAGTTATAAAAACAATACACAGAGTAGGGAAAGAATAGGAGGCATCTTGTAGGCCGGCTTGACTTGTTAATTGTTACATGCATTTGGTGAACAAGTCTATGAATTCCAATTTCATTAATAGTTTAATCACACCCATTTTAGGGATCTTAGCTTCACTCCTAAAACCTATATTTCAAATATTAATTTAAATAATATTTCCAAATATTAATTTAAATAATATTTCCAAAATTAATTTTAAATAACATTTCCAACAATTATTAATCCTTCATTTTCTCATTATTTTTTATCCCTAATAATAATGACAAGAGTTTCTGATAACGTGTTTTATATTTCAAGAAACCATATAATAACAATAAAGAATCAACTCACAAGTGAAAAAAAAAAGTCATATGTTACCCATTAACTCTTCCACCAATCAAGTTTCGACATGTGTAAGAGTATAAGGTCATTACGTAACTGTAAGGGTGATCACGTAAATGAAATGATAGTGAGAGAGAAAAAAAATGACATGTCAACAATTTGTTGGGGTGAACAATGAGGGAATAGAGAAGGGGTACCGGGTGGGATATGTTGTGTGTGTTTGGTTTGGTAAAAATTTACCACTTTGAATACTCCCAACATCAAAACAACAGATTCCTATCATAGTTTACAGTTTTATCGGTGTCGTTTATATGACGTGACAACAGAATAACGATATATGATATAATTGAGTTTGTTGACGAAGCGTGTAGATAGGCGAATGCGAATACAACATTTGTATAAAAAAAATAGGCAAGAATCAATGATTCATAGGATGAGAACAAAACCCACGTGATCATATCCTAAATCTTTGTTTGTATGGTGTTTTGTTTACACAAACTTACAAGTCACAAGTCAAGTGATGGACTCCATCCAACAATCTCCCATCTTCTATGTTCTTGCCAAAACCAAAGGAATAAAGTGTCCTTTTCAAACCCTTAATTGGACCCTTTTAAATTCAACAAAAAATATCTCAAAGCAGTTAAGCGGGCATTTGGATAGAGATATTAAGCAGTAATTAATGAGACTTGTAATAATAAAAAACTAATTGGTTTTATAAAATATAACGGATCCATTTACCAAGCAGTCTAAATTTTCATTCCATGTTAAATTAGGAAACAAAAATCCATTCCCCTGCACAAAAAGCCCCTAAGATAGTTGCCAACAATAACTACCAAGCCCTCGTTACTTATATTGGAGTCTCACATCAGCTGAACACAGTCCCTTTAACCTCTATATATGTTAGAACCTCCTCTATTTTCAAAGGGTTCTTAAAGAGCGATCTGAAAGGGATCCATATATCTCACATGGTATCAGAACAGGGGTTCACCACCAAAGAGTTTTACACAGTCTTTAACCTTTATATACGTTGGAACCTCTTAAAAAGCTATTTTAGAGGATGACAAAGAAAACAGAAAGGACATAGCAATTCAATCAAAGGGGAATGCCAAGGGTATAACTGTAAATTCATAGTGTGGTTGGAGGACAAGGTCCCTGGTTTTGGGGACATTAGAGATGAAAAGGGACCAATTTTATCCATGCTACAATGCACATGCTCCCTCATTAGTCAAAAGGGAAGGAAATAAGGAAAAGATAAAGAAAAAGCTGGCTCTTTGGCTTTTTCTCTACCCATACATCCTTGGCTTCTAATATATTGATATTAAGATATTAAGTCATGTATGGATAAAATTGTTTGTGGATTAATCTGTCTGTATAGACTGAGAAAGTATTTGTTTAGAATGATTTTCTATAGATGAAAGGAACATTAATTGATGGGGCTAAGTTTCGGATTTTTTTTGGCTTTCTTCATAAAGCCCCCCTTTAGAAGCTTACTGAATAAGCCACTTTCTATATCATTAAGCAACTACCAAACAATTATGTATAGATGACCGAATAAGCTGTAAGTTCCATTAAGCTTGTTAAGTTGTTAACAAACAGGTCCGTAGTTCTTATTTCCTTTTTCTCACACTTTTGAACAAGCCAAGGATCTTCACAGAAACAACTGTTTTCATCATTTGGGATAGATGTCATGTATATGTATATCCCCATACCTTGCTTTCTTATAAGATATACTGGATTTTTTTGATCTAAGAGGTAGCAAATCTTTGAGGTATCATTTGGGATATCTGTAAGCAAAAGCTAGATGCTGCTAAGAAGAAGAGAGACAATGGGATCAATTATTGACAACAAGTCAAGGTTGCATGGATTAATTAATCAACCATCTGACTTATATGCCATCCTTAAAATAAGGGGAACAAAGCTTGCTATGCTTCTAAGAAACAAACTTCATGATGGTATTTCATTAAATTAAAAAAAAATCTAAAGCAAACCAAACTAATCCAGTATATCTCACTCAAAAATAGAGTATGGGAGTAGAACGTACGTAAACCTGCCATCTATCCCGAAGACCAGAACGACTATTTACATAAAGACCCTGACTTGTATCAAGTGTAAGCAAACATGTAGAAGGAACAACGAGTGCTAATACAATGTAGGTAACTTACCAGGGTTTCTTTAGTAGGGGATCACGTGAGAACATGAACCTTTCCTCCACCAATGTTCACAAATACCTTCATCTACCGGTGGAATATCCCATCTGTCATGAGTTCAGTTCCAGTTGTCCATAACAGTTGTGGCCACTGAGTTTATCAGGGATGATGTCTTACAGTTGCAATTTACAGGGATTAGTCTGGGCATAGCCCGTGACACCCTTCCAAAAAAAATACTTTCGTCTACCTTCATTTACCTAAATGTACCACCATGACTCAAATTTTAACAAATTCGTGCATGTGAAGGTGATTGAAGGTATGTGAAAGTTCGTGTTTTTTGTTTGTCATCAGATGAAGGTAGTTAAGGTAGATAAAGGTCCACGTTTTTTGTGGGCCGTAAGATAAGAAAACAACTGATCCAAAGAATGAGGAGTGTTCTCCCAATTTTCACATGATCACAACCCTTCTTTAGTAACATAAAGTATTTCAAGTCTACTGAAAAATGCATCAGATTATGTTTCTCAACAAAACAAAACTTCAAAACTACATCAAGAAAAGGGTCCAACCCTGTATCCAAACTACCTGTTCTAACACCATATCTCTCGAGTTTGGGAGGGAAAAAAAGCCAACAGAAAACACAATAGAAATCACTTCTGTTAGATGACTTTTGGGTCCCCTAATCATCAAAATCAGAAGCCAAAGCTTCAGCTTCTCAGGCATAAATATGATACCCAATTGCTGCTAGAAGTGCAACAATGGCAGTAGCAACAGCAGCAGCATAATAATAATAAATGTAGTTAGTCGACTTCTTACGCTTAAATATCACCTTTGAAATAGATTCTGGTCCTTTAGCTCTAACTCTCCTTCTGGTTGCATTAACCTTTGGTTCAATCTTAACGTTTTCTTCAGCCTTTACTGGCTCTGGAGCTTCTGCAGGTGCTGCAACCTCCATTGTCGCTTCCAGAGGCTCGGGAGCAGGTGCTGAAGCTTGCATTTTCTTCTTTGCTTTCTTCTCACGCTCCTGCAAAAATTCACATGGAATCCGTCACTTCAATGTTCAACTAAAACTACTCAAATCAAAAAAAGTTGAAGCACGAAATGAGGGGAAAGTTCAAATGAGAACCATAAATATTTCGAGAACCTGGGGAACCAACTATTTCTATGTATTATTCATGATGAATATCCTTTGAATAATCATGCATGTCATGCATTTTCATAATTCATCATATCATGTATCTTCATCATGAATACCATGCATTCAATCAAGAATATCATGTATTTTTTTCATCATCCTGAATAAAGCATGAATGGTTGGTTCCAAAGTTCTCAAAAATATATATGGTTCTCATTTAAATTTGCGCCCCATGAAATGAATGTAATTTCCTTGAGCTTCTTCTCGGCTTCCTTCTCAGCTTTTATTTTGGCTTTTGCTGCAGCTTTCTCCTCCAGCTTCTTCTTCCTTTCCAAAGCCTGTTTCGCTTTTGCCATTTCCTCCTCCCGTATTATCTCCTTGAGCTTTGCCACATCAACTTCTTTCGTTTTCATGGGCTTTTTCTCCAACCCAAAAACCTCCTCTTCTTCTGCGTCCTTTAAACCCTTTATTTTACCATCTGTTTCTTTCTGGTTTTTACGGTTTTTCCCATTCTCAACACCTTGTTGTAAGGGTGCAATGGGTTCTTCCTTTAGTTTCATCATGACCTCCGTTTCCACTGGAACCGCCTGTGAAACCAACGGCTTCTCCTCAGGGTTCTTCATCCGCCCATCTTTACTTAGCTGTCGAATGTCAAGTGACTGCAAAATTCTTCTCTCATAATCTTCCCTGAAGGATTTGCTAGTATTCCATTGAGAAATGAACTTGCCAACCTAACTTACAGATAACTGAACATCAATAACGAGCTTGATAATGACGGGTTTTAATTACAATCAGTACCAAGCGAAAAAACAAACCTCTACAAAAGAAAGCTCTTTAAGGGCAGAAACATCCTTATTTGCAGCCAGGTTTCTTGCCTCATTCAATAGCGACCGGTTTTGGTAAAAACAACTATTCTGCAAAAAATTTAAGATATACACTAGTCAAAAACATTATACAGTCAGAACTATTAGTAACTAAAAATAAGAGAATACATATCAACGTACCCCCTCTTCACGCTTATTTCTCAACTCACGAATTTTTTCATAAACTTTATCCCTTTTTCCTGTCACCAACCGCAGTTCTTCCTCTAACGAATTAATAACGTTATCTATAGCCTCCTTTTCAGCCTCGAGTGTTTTAACCTTTGCCTTAATAGCCTCTTGATCTTTGCGGACCCCATCAAGACCAACGCCTATAAGCTACAATGAAGAGGAAATTAAAGTAATAATTAACATGAGATACTTGGGTGATGACAATTATGATATGCAAAGTATCATGGACTTCACAGTTACCAATTCCAAAGCTGATGAGCTGACAAACTCCAAAAAACAGCTATATAAGCTTTTGGAATGAGTGTCCTCACCTTCACCTGATCTTGGATCGAATCTTTTTCACCCACAGATTTCTGAATTTCAGCTCTAATTGCAGCATTTGCAATGACTTTATCCCTTGTACCTTCAAGTTGTTTGATTTCTCTAATAATTTTCTTTTCCTCGGTTAGGTTAATACTTTCATGTTGAATGCGGTATTGCAAACTCTTGATCTGCACAGTAAAAGGAGAAAAGAAGAGTGAGAAACAACTTAGAGAGTTCATTTGAGCCATGGATCATGATTACATTCTTGATATGTTTCAGGGATGCGTTTCTAAACGCCATCATACTGCAAATTTCTAATAAAAAATATCAATCATAAAAGAGAGTAAAACCCATCATGAAAATCAAAGGTAACTGGGAGTGAATGGCAAACATGAACATAAAAAACGTAGATGAACTTTAAAAAATGAAAAATAGCATGGCCTTATATGTGAAATGCATACTATAATTCATTAAGAAATGAGAATCAGAGCTTAGAAAAAGAACAGACAGGGCTTACAAGCAGGCGTTTATAATTTTTTATCTTAAAAACCAATGAATACCATCATTATATTAAAAGACAGGCCTTACAACATCATTGAGCTCTTCCTCAGATGAGCATATGAAAGTTTTATTATCTCTGTTTCCATTGCTTGGGGCACGCAATTTTCCCAATGCCTGCTGCAGAGGTTCGATTTCTTTTCTCTTATCATCCATGATCGTCCTGAAATGTTTTCTCTCTTCACCTAGAGCCTTCAGTTGACTTATTACTTGTGCTCGTTCAGTCTAAAAATCAACGAATAGTAAATTACTTCACGAAATCATTGAGACAATCATTGTGAATATAAGCTCAAGAGTCTGTTATTTTCTTCTTACCCTCTGTGCCCTGAGCTTCTCAGTAATTGGATTACGAGCCTGGTTGAGCTTTGTAAGCTCTTTATCAGCCTGATCCAATTTAGATTTCAGGTTCTGATCTTCAACTGATCGGTACTTCACAAAATAAACATAATGGAACTTCTTTTCTTCAGGCCACTCATCAACTGCATCCTTAGGAAAGTTGATCTCAGGAGTTTTACTTTTTTCTACTAGAACTGCCCCGTTCCCATGAGCACCAAAAGATATGGGTTCGTTTATCCCCATGCCTCCATTAAGACTGCTCTCTATCTTCCCATTTTCAACAGAAACATGGGCCAACTCAGACTCGACACCATTAACACCCATGACTATTTAAAACTCAATAATGTAAACAACCTTTAGACCCCGAAACCTGAAGCAAAATGGTAAACAATACATCAGCTGCAGAAGGCAAACTAAAATAATGAATCACTCAATTTAATAATTGGATTTAAACTGCATAAGTTTCTTAAACACCAATTAACAAAAGGGATTGGTACTTTATAACAACCAACAAATGAGCCTCTCCTAAGTGGTTGATAGGCAAGAAACACACACACACACACACACACATAATGGATAACCAAAATTAAAAAATATCTAGAATCAGTTTTGTTTCGAATTAGGGGAGATCAATAACTTTAATATATGCTTCTTAATCTTCTGTCATATTAGTGAGGTACATCAATGGAAGAAATACAAATAAGTAAATATACAATCAGGCAAGTTAATCATTCCCAACAAAACAAGATTCATAACCATTTACAAAGGAATCAAGGTACAGACATCCTTAGAAATCTTTGCACACAATCAACTACAACTACAAGGATAATTCAAATAAACGCATTCGAATTTGCATACATTACGTACATCAAGACCAAAGAAAATAAAAAATGACAAAAAATTTCTTGATGCAAATATGACGAGAAACCAAGATTATAAATTTGAAATCCATTACAGTTTTAAACATCGAGAATCCAAAATTCAATAGGCCTGGATCAAGAATTGACAGGAAATAAATCTAAAGTGCACGAAAGCGACGTGATCGATAGGGATCAAACGAGGAATCACATAAAAGGGGACAATTCGAAAGAATATAGTAAAAATCTATAGAGAAAGAGGAGAAGGTACAACAATGGCGGATTGCTTACCAGAAACTGGAAACGAGATGAAGAGTGATTTGAGATTAGAAGCGGTTAGCGAGGTCTAATAGACCGATAGATCTCTCTCCGTCTAGAGTATGAGAGTAGAAATACAGCGTTAACGCTTCATACCAATACGTATTCATACATACATTCTATAAAAAAGTACATATACATACATTCGTACATTCCATGAAAGTCCTTTTCAACTTTTTATAAATTAGAAGAATTTAATTTCTTAAAAAACTCCTTATTATGGATTTAACACCGGTATAAGTGGTTTATCCAAACATTCAAAAATGTTTATTACCAATTTCATACCGCAATAAGTCAATAAGTTGTTTTTAGAAGCAATTCCAAACAGACAACAACCATAAGAATAAATGAAAATGATACTGTATTTTATGCCAAATCATTTATCCCCTATATTATTTTGGCACACTTTATTTAATAAACACTAGTATGGGAACCGCGTGTTGCGCGGTAGTATGAATATTTTGATTAATGATCTGAAGATTGTCTATATAAATATATATTAATTGTTAATATAATCATCAACAAATCATATTCAAATAATTCGAAAAAGTTAAATAAAATATAGTTAGTGAAATTTTAATACATATATATATATATATATATATATAGGGAGAGATTTGTTTAATAATAAAGTTGTAAAACTAAATAAAATGAGTAATAATAACGACGGGAAATAATTAAAAAATTTGACACAAACTCAAGAATAAAAAATATTCCACATAAAGATATGTTTCCTTCAAAGGATGATGTACATGTATCATTTTTCATCCTCAACACACACCTTGACTTTAAAAACACAATAGTGAATGAACCAATCATACGATATGAAAAAAATTACATACCAAACTTAAAGACTTCAAATCTTTATAACCCAATAAATAAAATTATAATGCAATCAAAATCACAACATGAACATACATAAAATTATAATACGACTAAACTTACGATAATAACATACTTAAAAATATAATCCAATCAAAATCTTGATACAAACATAAATAACATTCTAATACACTCTAAATTACAAAACAAACTTGCATAAAATCCTCACCTTAGATCATAATCATAAATTCCCACAACCCAAACTTGAAAACTTCAAATTTTCAAGACTTGATATATAAACATTAAAGAACTCGAAAACCTGCAAACCAAAAAACGTTCAACATAAGTAAAAATTACATAGTGAACTTGAATATTTTAAATTTTCACCTAATACATAAGAGTTATATTGCAAACAAAAATCACAATACAAACATAAATAAAATTATAATTCAATCAAAATCATGAAACAAATCAATATAAAATTATTACATTATATTGCAACTAAAAAATCAAATATTGAATTTGAAGACTTCTTCAAATCTTCATGACATAATGCATAAAAACTATAATGCAATCTAAATAACGATACAAACACACATAAAATTAAGGGAGAAGTGGAAAAAAAAAAAACCTATGAATATTATTGATAGTAAGATAGAAGAAAAAACAAAGAGAAAGAAAATAAATTTAGAGATGTATAGGATTCAGATAAAATTTGAGAGGGTGTGAGAGATGAAGATGAATAAATAGTTGTTTTTATATATAAAAATAAATGATTGATTGGAAAAAATGAATGGTTTGGAGTTATGTCATTAGAATTAATATAGAATGAGATGGATGGTTTGGAATTGAATGCAAACATTTAAGAAAAAAACATAAATTGACAAAAAATGAAAAGGCTTTAGAAGAGGCCACCTCAGACATTAATTAAAAAAAATCTCTAAAATCCCAACAAAATTAAAAAGAATTGCATACTCGGATTAATCGTCTCGAAATAAACCTGAAAAAAAATGTAACCATTAAAAATGGACATGTTGAAGTTTGGTGATGCTACATAAAAAATTATAACAAAAAAAAACTTTAAAATCTCAATAGAAGTCAAAAGAAATGCATACACACATTAGTTTTCTCAAAGTATACTTGAAAAAAGATTATCATTACAAAAACATGTTGAAGTTTGTTAAGACTACATCATGGTTGGTAGTACTTTCAAGATTCCATCATCAGATCATTAATCGAACCATTGTTACCATGAAAACTCTAAAAATATTGTCAAGAACAAACACTCTGTTTCATTAAGAAAACTTGGGACAATTTATAGAAGAGAAAAGTAAAAAAAACAAAATTCTAAAATCCTAACAAAAATAAAAAGGAACGCATACCTGAATTAGTCTTCTCGAAATAAACTTGAAAATATATTTGTTGAAAACTAACAATTTATGAAATGAAAAACAAATCAAGTGATGAAGATGGAGAAAAATAGATTGAATGATGAACAATTCATGAAGAAGAGTTAGGGAAAATAAAATGATTATGTTAAATGCAAACATAAATGAATAATCAATGTTTATAAAAATTTTAAAAAAAAGATTAAAGAATGATGAATGAAAAAAAGATAAATAAGTTTTTAACCTTTAGGAGAAGCTAAGTCATCAACTTTGGTTTCTCCTTTAATATATATATATATATATATATATATATATATATA